CTTATTATTGAAAATGCAAACTCATTCTCTGCCAGGAGGCGGCACTTTTAAAGTGTGAAAACTAGCGGTTTCCCCGAACACTGGTAATGTTTATCGAAATATCGGAAATGTGTTTAAAAATCATTATCACCGTTATTTTAAAAAATTATATCGCGATACATAGCCTATAATTGAATTATTGTCCAGCCCTAGGAGGAGCTTGTTCATCTAATCACAACATAGGGATATTAGTGTCTCCTTACCATACTTTCATAATTCCACCATTTGTCCAACAACTTAACAAATTTATGAACTTCTTTTAATTAAAGAGTTCACAGGGAGATCTTTGTCTCCCTTTACACCTGGTAATCCATATCCTGATAATATCTGGAATGATTTGATTACACTTATACACACACAAAATGAAAACTGCACATATTACTTTAAAGGTTATCAACAAAATATGTCCATTTACAGAATTTTAAAGACATTGACTTATGATTCAAAATGCTTTCCATCATTTAGACAGATAGTCAAGTTCTTGTGATATAAATGCCACATTAAAAATATGAGTTGTCATAATATTTTACTGACAGTTTAAAAGACTTGTGTAAAAATACAAAAAAATGCAGTAAAAATATTTTAATGTTTAATATAAACAAATGACACATTAAAAATATGAATTGTTATACTATTTTACTACCAGTTTAAAAAAATTATGAAAAAAATTATGAAAAAAAATGCATAATGTTAAAAATAAAAAAAATGCCACATTAAAAGTATGAATAGTTATACTATTTTACAGACAGTTTAAAAGATTTTGGGAAAAATAATTTTAAAAAAGCATTAAAAATGTTTTAATTTTAAATATAAAATAAAAAAAGGTATGTTTAATGTACACTACTGTTCAAAGGATCCTTTTATTCACAAAGGATGCAACAAGTTAATCTAAAGTGGCAGTAAAGACTTATATTGTTACATACATATACATATATATATATATATATATATATTTCAACAAACGCTGTTCCTTTAAACTTTCTATTACAGCTTACTAATGCATTACAGTTTCCACATAAATATTAAGAAGTGTTTTCAACATTGATATAATAATAAATATTTCTTGAGCAGCGAATCGGCATATTAGAATGATTTCTAATATTACATATATTGTGCTGACCTCAAAGTTTGGAACTGAAGTCTATTTTTTGTGATCCAATCACAATGTATCTCAGGTATATTTACACCTGGCTTTTAATGTGGTTAAAGTATGTTATAGGTGGGTTTTAAAGCTTTAGATCTCCATTACTGGCCACATCAGAATTTCATAATTCTGCCAAGTGAAGAACATGAACATACATCATACACAAGCTCAGAGAGTCATTCTCACCTATGGCATGTAAAAACACACTACTTACAAAGCAGCCTTTTAGCTGCGAGACTACACTAGTTGAATAACAGAAGCAAACATCACAGCTGACCAGACTAAGTTCCCCAAGTACACCTTTTAACATGCAAAACTCGTTTTAAGAGCTGCTGAAAAAAGGAGTCCCGCAGAGCGAGCCGCTGTTTCTCATTAGGTTTGCGACTGAGTCGTCGGCGAGACCAGATCCTGACACGCGTCACATCCAATCACATTACTGGCCCGTGACGGACTGAATAATGAATGAAAAGATATTCCACAGTCTGACCCAGATGGATGTGTTTTCCTTACCTTCCAAAAAACAGCTTAACGCATCAAGAGACTAGAAGCGGGTTAACGCAATAGCCAATTTAATAGGTAAAACACAATCAACATGCATGCCAAAAAATGAGAGCCATCCAAATGGCTTTAAAACCATGAGGAGCATCATTATGACAGGGTGAAATGATCTAGATTTTACAAAAGAGCTTGTAAGGCCATGAAGAATGGGTAATCTGCATTGTATGCAGGGCGCCCGAGCCGCCACATGTAGTCACCACCCAGTAATAACAGTCTGATGCATTTTTGCAATCTGCTGCCCACTCAGGTTAGTAAACATTACACAGTGCAAAAGCTCATCACACACGAGCACAAGCACACAGATGAAGCTGGACGCAGAGATGTGCAGAGGACTGTGGTTTGCCTCTCATAAATGCAGGTTCATAAACAAAACCAGATTTAAAGGGCACGGCGGAGAGAAACACACGTCTGCACACGGGCACCTGAAGAGCAATCAAGATGCAGGTATATTTCAGGTTGATGTAGTATGACAAGAGAATTGGTTGTGCTGTGAATGGGGCTAAGGTTAACATTCCTCCTCTGCATTTAAAGAACCGGTGTAAAATGCATCTAAAATGGAGGCCTGGGACAGACAAGGTGAACATTCATCATGGCATACAGCCACACTCACTGATCTGCATATACACGCGTTCGAACGCACCTCTCCCTCTCGTGTTCCAATTCCTTCTGCCAGGCCAATACATCATTGCACTCCCAAACCAAATGAGGCAATCGCTCAAAATTATTTGCATATAAACTAATGAAACATTGCAAAGTTAAACTCTCTTGAATGTTAATTACAAATGTAATGCACAATTTGCTGATTAATGTTTCATTGCATCTTGTAAGGAGGGACGGTGGAACTTGGGGAACAGCACTGCAGCTGTACGCTAAACAGAGGAAGGTGTTTACGCTCCAGTTCAACATGTACTGCTTCAATATGAAAATAATATGATTCCTATTTTGTTTCCCTTCTGTGTGTGTGTGTATAGGAAGAGAAATAGGTATTAATGGAACATAAAATTAATAGGTATTAGGTATTAATAATGGAATATAAAATTTATAGGTATTAAAGGAATACACTAAAAAATGAAAATTTGCTAAAAAAAAAATAAAATAATGCACCCTCAGGCCATCCAAGATGTAGATGAGTTTGTTTCTTCATCAGAACAGATTTGGAGAAATGTAACATTACATCACTTGCTCACCAATGGATCCTCTGCAGTGAATGGGTGCCGTCAGAATGAGAGTCCAAACAGCTGATAAAAAAATCACAATAATCCACACCACTCCAGTCCATCAATTAATGTCTTGTGAAGCGAAAAGTTTCATAAGAAACAAACCCATCATTAATACATATTTAACTTAAAACATCACAATAATCCACACCACTCCAGTCCATCAATTAATGTCTTGTGAAGCGAAAAGTTGTATGTTTATAAGAAACAAATCCATCATTAATACATATTTAACTTCAAACCGTTGTTTCTGGCTCAAATACGAGTTCTCCATCCATAATATTGCTTTCTCCAGTGAAAAAGTTGTCTTGTCTGAATCAGAAGTGAAATATGCACAGATCAAGCACCATTTACAAACAAAAACTGTCCAAAATAGTTCTAAACAAATATGTTGGTGGATTTTGACGTGAGAGGACAACAGAGGATGGACTTTTTCCACTGGAGGAAGTGTTATTATGGATTATGTTTTTGTATTTTGGCCAGAAACAATGGTTTAAAGTTAAATGCCTTGATGATTTTCACTTCACAAAACACAAGACACGAATTTTCAGCACATTTTCATTTTTGGGTGAACTATTCCTTTAAGTGTGCTAATGAGTTCAGACATTTAAGTTTGTCATTATGATAACTGATAACCAAAAATATGATATATGATAATCCTCACGTGTATATATTTTCTGTATTCCGTCTATGTTCATGCCCAGAAATGTTTGTTTTAAGAATACAGTTTAGTTGGCATCCTGCTCATTGGCTGTTGGCACAGAATGAGAATTTGCACAAGGAGGAAGAGGGTCATCTGGCACTGCTGCATGTAGAGCAGAAAGAGGCATTGACGTCAATAATGCATGATCAATCTATTAATCCTTATTAATTATTCATGCTCTCAAAACTAGACAGGAAGGCAAGGTGTGAAATGTATGTCATCGTGTTTGTTTGTTTTTTGGCCGAACAGACACTATTTTTATTCTATTTCAACACTCAACCCAGGTTTCTGAAGCCTGTCGTAATCACTTTAGCTGGCAGCTGGAATACCTGGCGTTGTAACGTGATCCTCTCTGACCTTTTTTTTTTGCATAGAGAATTTGCATAGATAGAGAATTTGCATTGATAGAGGTCTTGAAAGGGTCATAGGATGCCCATTTTCCACAAGTTGATATGATACTTTACCAGATTTTTAAAAAAAACACTGGGTGGATTTTTATCATTATAGGGTGGTTGTGTACACACACTGCCAACACACATTTCAGTTCAAACAACTTGTAAAAGTGCATGTACCATCCTATGACCCCTTAAAGGCAGATAATCACCCAAGTTCCCTAGTACAAATCAAATTATGATTTGTTGCAATGGGGATTATGGCTAGTGAATGTTCTGAGTGCAAAATTTCTTCCTCCACACAATCATCACTGAACATCTGGTGTACACACAAAATTATGCTCAATAGCCAGTAAATTTTACGTATAATTAATTTAGTCTGTACCGATGTCAACAGACACACAACACCAGAATTAAACAAGCAGTTCAGAAGATATGCTGCTGAACAAAAACAGAGGTTACACCAAAATATAATAAAGTTCATGAGATCTACAACACCTGAACCTTATCGCTTTAAACTTGCATAAAATGTCATGAATGGAGCTTGGTATCCAAAACATGCCTATTCACTAAAACAAGTTGCCAACAATGATTTTAAAAATCCTTAAAAACTGCATATAGAATGCAACTTGGGGTTAGCCGTACAACTTGGAAACTTATCTTCAACTTGGAAACTTTTAAAACGACATTCCCTGTTAAGCAAATAAAATGCATCTGTGAGAAACAGTTGCTTCATTAGATAATAATAAACCTGAAAATGATAAAACCTGTAAATAAAGCAGGAAAAAAGGTAGCTGTTTCATTCTGTTGTATGTCATCATCTGAGCATCGAACAACAGAATGCTGTGCAATATGGCGGAATTCAAAAATATTAAATAAGAATATGCCACATTCGACTTGGACACTGTTGGGCACAAACACGAAAAGAGAATTACAAAAACTCTCACCAGTTACAGGAACGATGAGGCCTCCTGTCTCCACACACATAAGGGCCCCACCTACAATTAAAAGTACAGCAAAGACTTAGAAATAGTGTTATAGGACATATTATTTTGATTTTTGTTGTCATTGTTTTGACACAGAACACATTTTCCAGCTAAGCACGTTTGGAAACCATTGGCATTACCCTCAAGTAGAAACAAAGGCCTGAACAGATTTTATACCACACATCTGTTGTGAATAAGAATGGGCATTGTTCTTATTCTGTGTACTAGAAGTGTGTGTAATGCATTCATGTGTTCCTCTGCTTGACTGACTAACTGACTGATGGATTGATTGGCAGTGGCAGGCCTGACTTATTCATTTGGGGCTAGAGGCAGGTTGTCAGGCTGGTTCATTGGGGTTCTGGGAGAGTGCCGGTCCTGCGTCTGGCCCTGGAGGGGGGCTGGCCCACTCAGGCATAGCCGAGCAATGGGAGACTGCAGCTGTTCTCCCTGGTGTTGACCACTTTTTATCCCACTGCCTGTTCTGGACCCTGACAGACCAGACACAGTCTGCTACGCCCGGCTACACGCAAACCTTTGCCACCACAATACAAAACTGCTCACACAAACACACATTATCACACACATGCAAAGCCACAGAGGAAAGAACAAGGTATTACTTAAGTGTATGAGAGATTCTCTTCTTTTCACACTGTAGCCTTTGGTTTCAAACCACGGTATTAATGTGAGAACACTAGCGACACTGTTTAACCCTTGATTTTTCCCTCTATTGCAAACACACAATCTTAATATGCAAAGAGAGATGAAGAATCAGAGCCGTTTCTAAGGAGATAAAGACAGAAATCACCTACTTTATATAATAAGCTAATCAAAAGCAGTTCATGTAGTGCTGTGGTTCTCAAACTGGGGTACGCGTACCCCTGGGGGTACGTGAGGTGACGGAGGGGGTACGCGAACAAAATTCTGAGTTTTGGCATTCATTTAATTCTACCCCAACTTAAAGTAACATTAAAACCGAACATGTATTTCTGACAACCAAAATGCCGCTTCTAATGTAAAAACAGGAAAATGTTTTTGACGTAAACGGTCAAATACATGATATAAATAAATAATAAATAATAGTTCCAACGAAATCCGTATCATCTGGTGTGCGTCTCCAAGCAACATACAACGGTGTTTCATTAGTGAACGAATCTGCGGCTTTGAACGATTTGGAGAGTCAGTTATTAACAACCCATTCATAACTACAGCATTTTGCTTCATTACTGAATGAATGAATGAATAAATGACGCAACGCCTGGCTCATTAAGACTTCGACTTGCCTCCACCTATTGGCGGTTTTATTTTTAAATCTACAAGTATCACTTCGATTTGCCATCATTTATTGCTTTATTTTTTATATTAATAATACACTTAATGGAATGTTAAGAATATGACATAAAACATGACATAAGATACAATTAATAAGGATAGAAAATCTTTGCCTCTATAAATTAAAAAATGCACCTGTAAATCAATTTAAGGGGGCAAATAATGTCCTTTAATAGAAAAGGTGTAACTGCGGTCTAAGTGGAAGAGAGGGGGTACGCATAAGCATTTTAAATGCCCCAGGGGGTATGCCGCTGTAAAAAGTTTGAGAACCACTGATGTAGTGTATGCACAAGATAACTGATGCATTGATTGGTAAATAATTGTATCACTGTCACTGTAATTCTTCCAAAAATGTGTAATTTATCTAGAATGTGTAATGTCTAAGTATTTTGGTCAATATACTGTTTAGTCAGTATGTTTCATTTAAGTTCATCTAACCGTTTTTCAGCTAATATGGCTTAAAAGAGCTGTCAGTTAGCAAGAACTTAAAATAATATACTTATATTAACAAGTTTACATTTACATTTTTCTAATGGTTTGAAAGAAGTCTCTTATGCTCACCAAGACTGCATTTTTTTATAGAAAAATAGAAAGTTCATTTTTTTCAGCATTTATTTGAAGTATGACTTTTTTTTTCTTGTAACAATGTAAAAGTCTTCATTGAATTCAACCAATGACACTGGTTCTGTTATCGGCATGCTCTAATACTTAAGCTACTGGAATGCTAATACCGTTTTATTGAATTCACAAAAAATGGTCTAATTTGATTTGTTAAAGAAAAAAAAATTGATTTGTTAAAAAAAAATATTTCCTCAGACACTTTCTGGACATTATAACAAAACCATTAGTTATGTAGGCGACAACAAATTACACTAATCTCAAAACATGAATCAAATGAGCTCAAATGTCAGGGCATGTCAAAACATCTCAAGGGCCCCAAAATCACCTCAGACCCCAGGGGGTTAAAAAAAATGGCAGAAAAAGGTATAAAGAAGTGATTAAAAAACAGGTATAAATACCATGTTATGCATGGTTAGGTTTTGAATCTGATTTGCAGTCTGTACTGAAAGTGGCCAGATAAAAACACAGTGTATCACAAAATAATACACAAATAATGTATAAGATGTCACAGTATTTTAACAGTATAAAATAAAAGTGAAGCTGGGAGCATCTGAGGGTTCGGTTCCTTGCTCAAGGACACCTCAGTCGTGGTATTGAAGGTGAAAGAGAGTGCTGTTCATTTCCTCCCCCCACCTACAATCCCTGTAAGGCTAAGGCTCAAACCCGCAACCTTCGGGTTATAAGTCCGACTCTCTAACCATTAGGCCACGATTACCTAAATGTAATAAGTCTACCATTACTTTGTAAATTGCCATACACTCTCAGAAAAAAAAGATACAAAAGCTGCCACTGGAGCGGTACCCTTTCAAAAGATATTATGTACCATTAAGAGAAAAAAAAACACCAGGGCTCCAGACTCATTCTTCCCACTGGTCGCTCTTTTGCGACTTAACTTTCTTAGTTGGTCGCACGAGCACATGATTTGGTCACTACATATATATATATATATATAATTTTTTTTTGCGCTACAACATGGGATTAATCAATGCATGCTGATGAACTTTTATCATAGTTTATAGTTAAATGGAAATGAAAGTGGTTAACATTCAACCCGTTCCTTTTCATCAGTAATATTATTTGTGATTTGAATTCTGTGAATGGGAGTTCCTCTTTTGCTATGTTATAAGCCGGGCTTCGGGTGCTTTCACTTACGAATTCGCGATCTTGTTGTCACGTTTTACAAGAAAAGATAATTGTCTGTTTTGCTTACATACATCTACACACCTTTCCCTTTTTAAGACTAAAACAAAAGATTGATTCATCGTCTTAATTAAAAAGCACAACAACAATAAAACAGTAAGATGACAAACTAGCTTACAAAACGTTTATTAACAAAAACAATGAGGAATGGCATACACCACATGCTGTATTATATACCGACTAATAAATTACAGAACGTTTAGCAAACACTGAGGAATCAAATAAAAATAATAATAAATAAAAGAGAGCCTCCTTAGCGTAATGTGAGATAAACAGCAAAGATAAGCTTTTCAAAATGAAAAAAAAAAAACAGAAACTTAAAACTAAACTTGCTGTCTGTGACAGTGCTTGCATGTTCACCTTCTCTGGTTTAAGAAGCGGTCTTTTACTTTAGCTTGAAAACCATCCATCGTTTCCTCAACATTCGCATCATTTTTGCTGCGCACACCTTCGCGCTTGTGCTGACGCGGCGAGTATAAACCAGGCTCAAGCGCTACACAGTTCAAACGAGTAGCGCGGTTTCGTTATGCTTTCAGTTTCGTTTGCCGTTTGACGTTTCTCATAAAAACAGAGACTGACTGGATGCACCGTTAACGAAATCGCCTATGCATTAATTTTAAATATAATTATATAAAAATTTTGCAGTCGCACTAGCAGGAAAAATGGTCACAAAATGTGACTATTTGGTCGCAGTCTGGAGCCCTGCACACACACACACACACGGCACAGAACATGGCAAGGAAAACGTGTAATGGCAAAGGATGAGAGTTGGAGGATGGGGAAGAACTGTCATCACGGAGACAAACTGAGATGTAATTAATAAAATAATGTTAGCGCCATCCTCCATTTCCCGTTTCATGGCAGCAACAAGAGGGAGCAACACTTAGCTCCACACTGCTGCCTTCATAATCTATTCTCTCTGATTGTCCCTGATTCTCTCTCTTTATTTCCCCTTCATTGCTCGACAAGCCATCGTTAACAAGCTCAACCAGCCGCTAATACATCAACTGCTTCTCCTTGTCAGGCCGGCCACTTGGCCACATCACACGCAATTACGCCACTTTGCACAAGGCCTGTTTTGCATATAAGAAATACATCACGAACCGGGCTCCCCACAATCTTTGATTCTCTTTGAAAAACGTGAGCCGGGATCTGGTGGAAAGAGCTTCAATGCCAGGGTATAAAGGTATCTTCTGTGTATGACCGCTTATTTTTGATGCGTGTGAAATTCCATCTGTTTGGTACGTGTTTAAGTGTGCATTCAAAGATAACAAGCGGGAGGAAAAAACAGAGCCTTGACGCTTATGCATACATAGCGAATATCCAATGGTGGCACGGCATCGCATTTCCGTCTGATTTTCAAAGGAAGTAATGAATATTTAAATATGCATAGAACTGACAGGCTAACCTATAAAGAATCTGAATGAATAATAAGAGTCGGCTCCTTTGTTGCAAACTTTTCTTGACACCGCCTCGTAAATCAGAAGAAATAAAGGGAAGGAAGAGAGGAATGTGAAGAAATTGAGCAGGAAGTCGAGAGTTTGAAATTAAAGAATTAGTCAGACAAAGTGACTGACAGGAAATCAAATTTATAGGTTAAAAGAAAAGATAGGACACAGTGGTGGAGAAACTTCTGAAGCATTATTTCAAGCTGTTGTTGCCGAAAAGACAGTGTAACACAGAATAATAGCAAACATAAGTAGATATAATAGATGAAATAGTGTTTTATAAAATAAAAATACATTTAATAAAACAAATAAATATTAATAAAATAAAAATCACATAAAATAATAAAATAAAAAATATCTTTATAAAAAAAGAGGAATGTGAAGAAATTGAGCAGGAAGTCGAGAGTTTGAAAT